CTCACCAGGACCTGCCTGCTGCACCTCTCGGGAGTGCTTTGTTTGAATGGGACAGGCTCTAACAGCTCCAATGCATCAAACAGACTCCCTGTGCAAACAGGGCAGCAGGAGAGGGGTGGCTCCATCACAGCCAGGGCAGGGTGGCACTCCTCCTGCAGGGAGAGCTGGCAGAAGGCCAGCAGCTTTCTCCCTGCAGCTGGAATCTCGAGAGCAAAGGAAAGGAAAGCATCCCCATGCACACCCCACACATGAGGCACTCAGGAGCTCTTATGGCCTCTGTCCCTTGGTGTGGAGTGCATGGCTTTATTCATGATGAAAGCTGAGAGGGGAAGAAAGCTGCAGCCAAGATGTCAAACGAGCACTCAGGGTTTGCAACAGGCTGGCAGCAACAACACTGCCCAATGCTGTTTTTTTGGTGGCTGGTGGTGTGGATTCCCCACACTCTGGCCTTCACCACCCTGCCTGGCTTCCATTCAGCTCGCAGCATAGCCCAGGCAGCGGCACAGCCTGGGCAGGGATGTTAAAAGCCCGGTTCAAGGTTAGAACAAGAGAGCAAGGCGGTCCCCTGAATGGGAAACGGCATTTTTCAAAGAGAGCTGGTAGGCGGGTCAGATAGAGAGGAGTCCTGACCCTTCCGCAATCTGTTAAACAAATATTTGTTCCAAACAATTAATTTAGAGACAGACACAAAAAAATTGAAGAGTCTGAATCGTGATGGTTGGGGGTGGGGAACAGAGGGAGGAGGTGTTTGATTCCCCACAAGCAGGGACCAGTGATTTTCCACCAGTGATTTAATCTAAATCCCCCAGAGAGTTCATTTACAAAAAATCAGATTGCATTATCGCCTAGGTCTCCAGGATACAGCCCAATCCAGTCACTAACAGCAACAGCCACACTAGCTTGGAAACCTCAGTTTGATCACTTAATTCCAAAACTAATCTGTGGCTCTAAAAGCCAAAAGCAGAGGGAGGGGGAAGGAACTCTGTATTTGGCCAGGGTTATCTGCAGGATGAGAGAGCTAATGGGCCACATACAGCCAGATGAAATGGCCAGCAGATCCCGGGCTACTAATCGAAACCAAGCTCCTCTCCTTGCCTGAGCAGCCCCACCCAGGCAGTGCCCCAGAGCGGTCACATTCCTGGAATTCTTTCACCCTTCCTGAACTACCTCCCTCTCCCTGGGTGCACCAGCTCTCCCCTTCATCTCTGGGGTCCCCAGCATTGCTGGCCAGGCACGGGGAGCTGGGGAGAGCCTCTTCTCTGTGAGGAGGGTGCAGAACACAACACTGGGCTCAAAAGGCTCCTGTCCCCTTCCCAAAATGCTGGGCTCTGCCAATGGACCTTGAGCTGAAGGGGGCCAAGAGGCCTCAGCTCCCAGCAAGGAGGCAATTCCCCACTGTTTAGATGCCAATGCCTGACAGCATGAACTCTTTCCAGTGGGAACCGGTAAAGGTTACACCAGCAGGGAATCACTAAGATGCAGAAGCCAAATGAAAACTCAGACATCTGTAGGTCATATACCTCCCGCCGGCAGTCCCAGGCTGCACCGCACAGCCGGACCCGGCATTTCAAGAATGCTTCCTGAAGAAATGCTTATTCATGTTAATACCTCACCACTGAGAGCTCCCAGGGTTTGCTGCTGGGGCAGCTGGGAGCACTGCTCCCTGCCAAGGGAAAAGCAGCTGCGGGCTTAGAGCTCCCCAGCACAGAGGTTGCCTCCACCTCAGCTCTGGCTCCCACCACACCAGCTCAGACAGCCCCAGAAGCCCACCCACCCCCCAGGATCTGCTGTGGGATTCATTTCACCATGAGCAAGGCAAATGCTGTTTCCAGAATGAAGAAGTAGCTGTTACCTCAGCAAACCACCAGCCAGCCCATCACAACACCGGCTTGGAGAGGAGGAAGCTCCACTCCCTGCTGTTAATGACACCGGGAACATGCCCCAGAGCCAGGGCTCTGCCTGAAGAACAAGCTTGGATGACATTAGATTTCCAAAGGCTCTTGGAAAAACAGGTCTTTTACATAACATCCAGGGAGAAGGAGAAAAAGCAGGGATGGAGAAAGATGTATCTGAGCACAAAATGTGTCAACACGGTGAGTTGGCCCTCTTGGGACAGCGTTTAGAGCACAGGAGGCAAGACCACACACCCCTTTATTCTCCCTGCAAGGGGTAGGACAAGCTCTAGCACAAACATTGCAGGGAGCTGCGCTCCAGTTTGACCAGCCCCACCGCCAGCCTGGAGCGAGGGAAGGCTTGGGCAGCCAACCCCAGCACAGAGAGGTGATCTTACCCATCCGCCATTCTCCTGGATCCAGGGATCTAAGTGGTCGGTCAAGTACGTGGTCATCCAAGAGACGATGCGTTTCACCAATACCCTCATCTCCTTAACAACGCTCTCCACGCACAAGGCTCCTCCGAAGGAGAAGAAAGCCACGATGCGGCCCCAGTTCACTCCATCGCGGAACAGTTCGTTCACTACCTGCTCAAAGCTCTGATACGCTGTGCTGGGAGTGATGTGGAGCTGGGAAGTGAGGTCGCTGAACGCCCGCCGGTACCTCAGCTCAAACTCATCCCCCGCCTCTCTCAGCGCCTGCCTCACATCAGCTGCTCGACGGATCTCATGGACTTCGAGGCTGTTCTGGTGCACGGTGGCTCCATTCACTATGTGGCTGGTGGCCGCGTGCCAGGAGGGGCTCCCGTTGAGGACCCCGTCCATCTCGTCCTCCTCCCCTGCAAAGTCAGTCCTGTTCTCATCCTCCTCTTCCAGCTGACTCCAGCTGTATCCTTTCTGTGAGAGCTTGTAGGAAACAAAGTCAATCACTAACTCCCGGTTACTGCTGTACATTTTCACACCTGGGACGCCCTCAATGAGTCCATGGTCCGGAGCACAAGCAGATCAGCACTTAGCAGGTTCTGACTCCACTCCTCTTCCTCGCGACCGATGGAAGCATCTGACCTTAGCACAGATGAGGAGAGAGGCACGGAAACGGTTAATGCCACAGCTCTTAGATGCACCCGCGCCATTACCACCGATAGCTTATCGTTATACTGAGATCACCCCGCAGCTCTACGCCGAGGCTCAGGGCCACCAGATTGAAGCTGCACAGAGAACCGACCACAACCGACCCCCTCCCCCGGAAAGCAGCCTTGAGCCCCGGGGACCCCCCAAGCTCGTTCCGAGCAGACCCCAGATCTCACCGGGTGCGGGCTGCGCCTGGCAGGCCGGCTGCGGGCCAGGGCGGAGGCGGTTCTTGTTCTGCTGGAGCTTCGGGTCGGCCCGGAACGCGACAGCACCGCCCCCGCCTCGCCCCGCCCGTTAAAGGGCCCGGCGCCCCCGCCCCCTCCGCCGGCGGCGGGCGGGCAGCGCTACCCAAGGATCACAGCAGCCCCGGGGCGGCCCGGTTTGACGGTACCGCAACCCCCGCCGCCCCAAAGCCCCTCTCTCCTCGCAGGAAGAGAGCATAAACCGCTGAAAACCGGCGAGCGCTCCTCACCGCGGGAGCCGCCGCACGGCCTCGCGTCCCTGCGGGAGCGATTCCAGTCACGGTTAGCGGCGCGTAGGCGCTGGGGCCGGGACGGTGACACGCCGGGCAGCGGCAGGCGGGAGCGCCGCAGGGGGCACCCGGTCCTCCCGAGCACCAGACTGCCCCCCCCACCACCGGACCGCTTCTCCCGGAGCCCCGAACCGCCCCCCCGGTCACCGGACCGCCCCCCCAGCCCCCGGACGGCCCCGCCGGTCGCCGTACCTGGGGGGCGGGGCCGCGCACGAGGGCCGGCAGGGCGCCCGCGCGGCCGACACGCCAGCCAATCAGCGGCCAGCAATGGCGGGGCCCGGCCCCGGCCTCTCCCTTTGGCCGAGCCGCGCGTCACTCAAGCTTTACCCTACCCCGCCCCTCACCTCAGCGCCCGACTGAGGGTCCGCGTCCTTCCCGGCTCTGCTGGGCGGGCCCGGCTGGCAGCGACACCGGAGGTCGCCGGGAGCCCCGCCGGGGCTCGGCCCGCTCAGCAGTCCCCGGAGCCTTTCCACATCGCCCGCCGAGCGGCCGGGGGGGTGCGGTGGGGTGGGAGGGGGCAGAAGAGGGGCGGTGCGCATGCGCACAGCGCCCCGAGGCTGGGCGAGGAGCGTCGGTTGGACCGCACGGGGGCACGGCGCGCACGCGCCGCGCCGGTTGGGCCGGTGCGCATGCGCGAAGGTGCCGGGCGGAGGGCGGAGCTCTGGCGCCCCCTGCCGGCCGCGGCGGTGTCAGCTCGGGCCTCTGGGCACGGCCCTGCCGCTGACACGGCCGCAAACCCCTCACAGCAGTCCGGGACTAACGTGGGGTGTTTTGTGTCTCCGCAGTGCTCAGGGAGCCCGTGGCGGGATTATGAGGGGAGGTTTATGGGGGTAGTGCCGAAGCAGTGAAAGCGACTGTGGCAGCAGGGGCCTGCCCCGCCGTTAACAGCTGGCTACCCATCCCTCTGCAGCACTGCGGGGAAGATTATGCACTACTTGGGGTCGAAAACGCCACTGCGCAAATGGCGCTTTCCCCTCACAGTATCGAGAAACCTAGCCGGGCTTACCAGACGGCGGAAGCCGCCTTTGCCGGGCCCAGCAGTCCGAAGGCTGATCTGCTGAGGAGCAGCGGGTGGAAGCCGGGCAGCGGACACTGAAACACCCTCCGTACCTGAGCCCGGCTCCGGTAGGCTCCTGCCCGGCACCGCGGCCGTAACGGCTGACACTGGCTCCGGGGTCCCGCCCACCAGCCGCTGATAGGCCGCCCGGAACGACACTCAAAGCTTCGCCTTTTCTGATTGGTCTAATATGTCCCGCAGTGCGTTATGTGAGTTGTGGTTCGGTTCTCGCCCGATCATTGTGGCGCTGTGCAAGCATGTACTACATTTCCCGTCAGGCTTTGCAGGGAGAGCGCAATGCGTTGCGTGGGGTCTGCTTATCCGGGTCCTGAAGGGGTCCAGCCAATCGGCGCGCCTCAAAGGGCGCGTGCCGGGCGCTGATTGGTGGGTTCGGACTGCGGGGCCCTGTTTGAAATCCGTTAACGGCGGCGGCAGAGGCGCCGCGCGGAGTGGCGGCGGCGCTGCTGCTGAGGTGAGTGCGGGGCGCCGGCCGGGTACCCACGGCCTCGCCTCTCCTTCCCCGTGTCTGGTCGTTCTCTCGCTGCTGCTTTCCCCCAGGCCTACTCCGAGCCCAGGTATTGGTAACGGGGCCGAGGGCTCGGCTGGGAAACGGCGGCGGAAGGCGGCTCCGGGCGCTCAGCCTGTGCCCTGAGCCGCTATTGCGGCCTGGCGGGCGGGCTCGTAAGGAGCCCCGGGGGCTGGTTAGGAACCCCGCGTTGTCCGGGGAGGCCGAGCCCGGTGCCCCCGGCGGCAGCGGGAGGAGCCGCCGTGGCGGGCGGTGCCCGTTCCCCTGGCGGGGATCGCGGTACTGGAGCGCCTGGCGTGTGCCTTACGGTGGGGAGGGTGCCTCGGCAGTGAAATAAAGTTCTAAGTCTTTCAACAGCCACGCAATCTGATTAAACAGTGTATTTCACGGCGGAAAGCTCTGTAATGTCTCAGTCTAAATCCTGCTTCCCAGGAAAAGGAGGGAAGCAAACCAGGCAAAACCTGGCCCGAGTATCAGAAAAAAAACATTAGGGGAGCTATTTTTATGCGGGGCTTTTTTTTAAGCTTGAGGACCTTCAACTTAATGTAACAATTAGTTGAGGTTATGATAGCTAAAAATAATTTTATTTTCCTTGAACGTCTATTCTTAGAATGTCCCATCTTCATGTCTTTTGAAACTTGTGGGATCTTTTTTAGGGAGCACGAGATGTCAGGGCTGTTATTTTTGGGAATGGGGGCGGGTCTGGGCCGTTAGCAGAGCAAAGGCTGGGCCTGCACTTCGCCCCTGCCTCGGCTGCCGGTCGGGGTGGTCTGCGGAGCTTTCTGCAGGCTCAGCTCTCACCTGGAGAGAGTTAAAGGCTTTTTCTCCCAGTTTGAGCATTAAGTGATGGAACAGCAGCATTCTGGGGCGTGGTGAATCCATTGTTGATTCTGTGCTGCAGAAAAGCCTAGTTGAACTTTGAGTAAGGGGCACGAGAGAGGAGGGAGAAGCTGTAGATCCAGAGTGTGTTGAAGTGTTCACTTAACCCTGCTCAGGGTAAAGCAAGGATGAAGGGTGACTTTCTGAGGCTGTCAGTGTCACGCAGAGGGAGTTCAGGTGATGGCTTTGCGGTGGGATGGTTCTCACTATGCTGTTGTGACAGGACTGTAGCCTCAGAGAGGCAATTACATCCCTTTCTAATGCTCCAACTTACATGTTAACCCCTGAAAAACATCCAAGAACTTTTGAGTATTATCCCAATAAAAAGAACAGAAAACTCCAAGGTGCAGGACAATGAAGAAGCTACCAGGCTGACTTAAAGCTGCCTGGCTAGTGCAGCATCCTCTATTTAAGTGGCAGCCGGTGTTGAAGCCCAGCAGAAGGCCCTGGAATTGCTGGAGCACATTCCCATGCAGCTGCCTCAGCCTTGGAGAAGCTTCTCTTGCTCATTCCTGGTTTCCTCTCTTGTGTTCTGAGGCGTGTGGATCGGCTGCCTTTGTGTTTACCTGCTGATGTAACTGAGAATAGCTTCTTGTGTGTCTGTTGTTGTTTATTGTGCTTTCTGATCCTGTTAGGATTTGCCATAAGTAACGTATGTAACTCGTGAAGCTCCAGTGGTGTGTTGTGATAAGGCATCATCTCCAGTTCACCAGGGCCTTATCTACATTGCAAGGTGGCAAGAAAGAGCAGAACTCTCTGCCTTCCTCAGGATCCAGACTGGTTTGGGTTGGAAGGGACCTTAAAGCTCAGCTTGTTCCAAGCCCCCATCACCATTCTGGGCAGAGACACTGAACCAGCCCTGTCCAACCTGGCCTTTAACACCTCCAGGGACAGCCACAGCTTCTCTGGGCAGCCCTTACCAGAGCCTTACCACCTTACAGGGGAGAATTTCTCCCTAATACCCAATCTAAATCTCTCCTCTTTTAGTTTGAAGCCATTCCCACTTGTCCTATTACAAACTTTTGGTGTCCCTATCACTATCCTGTCCTTGCTACTCTCCCGCACTCCTCCATTTTCTCTCCCTCTGACCTTGATTTCTCATCTTGGAATGCTGCATCCTATCTCCAACCATGGCCTGAATGGCTAGGTGGCTTCTTTGTCCAGGCAGATTGTGCTGTTGGCACAAAATTCACGATTACATTGAGACAAACACACTGAACCCATCTGTGATGGAATTGTGTCAGTATTTTAAAGCTAATTTGGATTAGAGTGAGGTGTGAAGTTATTCCAAAATACCTATTGCACTTGCTGTTGGATCAGTCTTATTCTGGGATAGGAATGCTTGTTCCAATTTACTGTAATCCTTTTTCAAAGCTAACTAATCTAAACCACGCCAAGGCACTCTTCTGGAACGTGCCAAAGTGTAGTTACTCAAAAGAAACCTGATGTCCAGAGGAACCCACTGCCTATTCCTCCCTGTGGATACGGCTGTGCTGCTCTGGAGGCACTTTTAGGTCAGTGAGAGAGGAGACCTAGAAAGAAAATGAAGATTTTAATTAAGTAGTCACTTTATAGAAGGAATTTGGGGTCTTTTTGCAGGCGAGAAGATCAGATCTTCCTTTCCTGCCTCAGCAGCTCTGCAAAGCAGGTGAAAGCCGATCCTGCAGAACGGGGGTGAGGGTTCCCCGGCTGGCTCGCTGCAGACACCCGTGTCGACACAGGAGGTGATGGATGTGGGGGAGAGCAAGGTCATGCTTTAAATCCACGCCGAGCTGTGTAGGATTACAGCGTGCCTGGGAAATGCACACAGTGCCTGCTAATTAGGGAACGTCCCTATTAATGAGGAAAAATTTCCACGCCTCCCTTCCGGTGGATGAATGCTGCGGTGGAGAGAAAGAATTTTGGATTGAGATAAAATGTGGTTGTGCTGTCAAAATCACAACTGAGTGTTTTAAAGCGCCTGCAGGGAGCGGGCAGCGGGTGTTGGGCTGTGCTTGGCAGAGCCTGTTGGCATTGCAGATGCCTCGTGGTGGGCACAGGAGCGATAAATCACCGGGGCATTCCTGGCTGATCCTGTCCCAGCCCGAGTCGGTGGGCGGAGGAGCAGGATGCCTCTCAGTGAGCTGCTGCTTCACCCTCAGTCCTGTTCCAGGCAGGACTTGGATATGTAGGGATTTCAGAAGCAGATGTCATGAGTTCATCTGACTGAAATGAACTTTCTGGAGGGCAGTCACAATAACTGTTATCTCCCAGTTGTCTCTTTCAAGAAACAGAGTATGAATCTGAGGCAGCGATATAATCCTTTTATTTTCCTGACTATTCTCTTCTGTCTGGGATAGAGGGGAGAGAGAGGGGTCAGCAATGAGGTCGATGATAAGGGTGGTTGGTGACACTACAGAATAGGGGCTCTACTCAGTAAAAAGCTGTAAATTGCAGCAATGTAGCAGTGGGCACAAGTAGCTGTGAAACATGATGCCCAGAGCTCTGACTCTGACTGGAGAGGGTGAGGGGAGAATGCAGATGACGCATTTGATTTTTAAAAAAGTCTAAAGTGTTGACAGAAATTCTATCTTGATTAAGGGCAGTAGGAAAGCATTTGATTCCAGCCATGTCTCGAGCTCAGTTACAGTTGGTTTTGGCTCTAATTCTTCTGTTTGCCTTCTTTGGGCCCTACTTTGACATCTTCCCAGCCATGTAGCTGGTGCTTCTCTAATGACATTCTTGCCTTTAACTATCACAACTCTGTTCTGGGGAGCTGGAAACTTCTCCGTGCACCTATCCTTGGGGGCGAGTGGTTGTGACCAACATAGTACCCCCTAAACACTGCTTTGGTTTACTCTTGGCCATTTTCTTATTTATTGAGGAGCACCATCTGGGTTTTGAACCATGTGTGGTCTGCCTAGACAGATGGTTTAGGGCTGAGGCTCTGTGGGTTAGGAATATGCTGCTTTGGAATTGCTTGGGTTCATAAAAGCAAAGTTCAGGTGATTTCCTTGGGGAGTGTTTTATAACATCCTCGTGGGCTTTTCCTCACAGCTGTTCAAGGCATCACAAAAGCACCTTTGCAAGAAGGTTTTGTATAATTTCAGGGTTTATAACTTTGTTACTGGCTTTATTCCTGTTCTGTTGAGTTTAATATCACCTGTTGACACAGGGACTCCTCTTGCTGTCAGTGCTTCATTAATTAACTGCAGGGACTGTTTGACATGGATCACAGCACTCAGTTTGTTTATAGCCTGGCCAGCCTTGGGCTAGTGCTAAGGAATGCAAGAGGGCCTGACACTGCCCTCCTTCTGACTGTTTGCCCAGTAATAATGTTCTACAGAACCCTCTTCCTGCTTTGAAAATCAATGTATTATATAGAAGAGCACCTTTGTGTTATTAGTTCTTGTTTGTGGCCCTTCAGAGAGAGAGAGGCTGTGCATTGCAGTGCTCTGGAGGGAATCTTGTGAGGGTAAGAGCTCTTCTTTGTGCATGGTGAGGGAAGAAAGTGCAAATCACTCTCTGGAAAAGCTTTATACTTTACTCCTTAAAAAATACAATTCTAGCACGTACAGGTACCAAAAAAATCCTGTCAAAACTTGATCTTTCTGACAGTTTTGAACCTGCAAATGTCAACAGATGTGAAATATCCTTAGCTTTGCAGATCAGCAGTAGAATAAAACTCTACATTGCTCATGAGGGGTTCTGCCCAAAGGTGTGAAGTGCAAGAAGGGGGGATGTCCCAATGCCTGTCCCTAGAAACTCTGCAGAGGAAGAGAGGTGGGGGATGATTCCACTGATTCCCTGTTGTTGTCTAAAGGGCTGTACCAGTGCAGACAGAGGACTCTTGGGGACACTGTGACTGTGAAGATGTCTAAGCCAGAGTCCCGTTATTCTTTTGATGTCCCAAACATCTGCATCGATTTTGCAACTCTGAATGAGGATGATGTGCACAATGCAGACTCCTGGTTTGGTAAGTTGCTTCTAATTCCTTGAGTTATTTCCTTGTTGGATGACACCTTAGTGTGGTCCTTGTTTTGGGCCTGGCTTCTGTGCATTTAATCATGATGTTTCTGCATCATTCATTATGCATGAGGTTTCTTTTGTATTTCATTCTTGTCATTTGTAACTTGCCTTTGTTAACTTCATAATAATGATATTCTGGGATATTCCTAATGGTGTGTATAGTGAAAGTTTTCTCTCCTTACAGATGAAAAAGCCAATCTGGAGAATGTCCCTCCTGGAGAAAATCTGGCAAAGGTCTTACACTTCAGCCCTGCTTCTTCAAAGCCTGATGTTATTCTGTCTTCTGTCCCATCACAAGAAGTAGCAATGAGTAAGCTGGCACAGTGGGGCAGAGAGGGAATAAATTTTACCTGGTTTTCGCTGGCAAAATCAAAAGGCCTCTGTCTGGCTTTTGTGGGGCTTCATAAACTTTCATCTGCAAGGCTGCATGTGGTTTTACTTGTTCTGTATATGTATATACAGATGAGCTGACACCTGCCCCTTTCTCAGGTGAAAGCGATGGTGAAGCAGAATGTGCCCAGGGCAACACGGTCCCTCAGAACATTGTTGGGTCCCTGGCAACCTGGAGAGCTGCTGCCCCTGCAGAGGCCCCTCAGAGGTGAAATATTTGTGTTCAGTTTGTACAATGATTGATGATGGTGTAACTAAGCAGCTCCTTGCTCTCAGGATCTGCAGGTCTAAGCTGTTCTTGGGGCATCCTGTGGGGCTGGAGTTCTCCAACATGGAGATCGTGCATTGGGACATCTGATCTGCTGGCTAGGCTGGAGGGGCAGTCTCTAGGGTGGAAATGTAATGCAGTGTCTCACATACTTGTCAAATGAGACTCGGCAGCGCCAGGAGCTTCTGGAATGGGAGGATATCTGAAACTGAGGTGGCTTATAAAGTTTCTTTGTTTATATCTGCCTGACTTGGGCTGAACTCATTCTTGATACGAATGCAAGTTCTGCGTGCTCATATATAGCAAATAATATTTAGTTTATGGATTGTTAAACTTTAATGAATCGTGCTGTGTTTGGATTGTAGTGTTAAACACAATTTGTGTGGTGGAGTTAGGGGATGCAGTGACATAAATGTGTTATCCAGGTCAGGTGTGTCCTCAGATCTGTGGGAAAATTGACCTCTGCTTTCTGTTCTACTCTAGACCGGGCAGGAGACTGGCTACAAAGCAGGGGAAGACCCAGCAGCGCAAGCAGGCAGGCAGAATCAAAGCAAAGGAAACTGCTAATGCCCTGGATAATAAGGAAGATGTTCCACCCTTGAAGAAAATGAGGCTGTATGTCATCCAAGTCCTTCTATTTAGGGCTGGGAAAAGGGATACCCTTTGGAAAGGTTTCCACCTGGCTGAGAAGGTTCTTACAGGAAAGTTAGGGGGTGGTGGCTGGAACTGGTTGTTGATACTGATTTCATGAACAAGAAATGTCTGTAAATGCTGAAGGAATTGCTCTGTTTGGAGGTGCAGATGTAAATGAAATAAGCATGGCCTTCTTCACCTTCTTACTACTTACTCATTGTCTGTTAGCTTTAAATTTGTCTGAACTTATCCTTCAGGAAGTCATCAGGCAGTCATTAGCTATGGAAGAGTCACAGCTGAAATATTTCTCAAATTAACTTAACCTCTAAAGCATCATATGGTGATAAGCTTGAGGTCAGGAAATTAGTGTGGTCTTTGAAGCACTGCTGTATCTCTGTGATCTTCAGTGTACCTCCCTCCTCCAGAAAAGTTCCAAAAACTCAGTAATTCATCTTCCCTTCTGCAGCCTTAGAGTACCAGAGAAAGCTGGATGGTCTATACCTGGGCCTAGGGTGAGGTAAGGCCAGCCTGGCATACCTTAGACCTCACCAGGTGTTGGGATGTTGTGCATGGTGGTGAGAGCTGCAGGTGGTGGTTCATTTAGAACACAGTTAATTCAAGGGGTTTGCCCTAACTTTTTCCTCTTAGTTCTGGTAACAGAGAGAAGGCAACAGAAGCATCCACAAAGAAAGAGCCCCTGCAGGATCCTGACCTCTCCCCAGGGAAAGGGAAAAGCAAACAGACCATGCCCTGCACGCCAACAATGTTGAAGTACGTGGCTTTCTTGTGACTTGTGTGCTAATCACAGTTGATTTAGGTGACAGTCCTGGCTGAGTGTTTTCAGCTTCAACTTAGCATGTGATGGTATCACATTTAGTAAACACTGGGTCAAGGCAACAATATTAGGATGAAATGTACTTCACCAGCTGCCCCTGTGCACAGGAAAGCTTTTGCTGTTCTTTTGAGGAAAAAGTTGTTCTTCCTAATGGATTGAGAATGCACACAGCAAATGGATCTGCAGAATAGCAGCTAGCTGTGAGATTTCTTGAACAAACAAAACCCAAGCAGATCTCTTCCAAAGAGGATGTTTTTATAACCAGTGATGCTCCTGCAATGAGGCTGGAGATAAGCATGTTCCTTGCACAAACATCATGCTATAATAACCAGGGAAGTAGGAAGCCATATCTTAGTTTTTAATGTGCTTTTGCAGGAGGACCAAACCTCCTAGCAAGCTGAAGAGTACAGAGGAGCAGGAGGTGGAAAAGATGCAGCAGTTACAGCAGGAGGTTATGGAGCTGCGGAAGAAGAACGAGGAGTCTCTGAAAGCAGCTATTGCTGGAGCAGGTGGGCTCTGCCTGAATTGCCAAATGAAACTGCGTTAGGCTCAGCTGAAAAGTGCTGTACAGAGCTGTGCAAGTACCTTTGAAACAAGCATTTCAGACTTTGCAATAAATATTAGGAGCCATTTAATGTAGATCAGCCCCTAAACTGCCTGGAAACAGGTGGGTTTGGGTTATGTCATGTTTTGAAATGTTAAAGATGAGCTCTCTAAAAATTTACCTAGTTGTTAGAAATTAAATGCTTTTTATTTTTATTTCCACAAATCCTACCCCACAGCAAAAGGCTTCTAGTGCTTATATGTTCTTTTCCTCTAGGACAACCCATGAAGAAACCTGTTGGTCAAGTAACAAAGCCAATTGATTTCCACTTCTGCACAGAGACTAGAATTAAACAGAATGTAGAAAGCCAGCCTGCCAACGAGTACAAAGAGCTGGATTTTGCAGCAGTCTTGAGGAAGCACCCCCCTTCTCCGGTGAGAGCCAGAGCACTGCCAGCACTCAGCTTGCTGATTCTTGCCACTATTTCCCTGCTGCTTGTGCAGTGCTTGGGCTGATACCCACAGAGAGGTTACCACAGGAGGGGCAGGTGTTGTGCAAATGTGACTGCAGACTTCCTGTGTGTCTGTGTTGCCCTAAGACTCCAAAGAAACCTTGTGGAAAAAGGAGCCCTATAATGTCAGATCTTCCAGTCATTCCGCTTTGTGTTTTAATCTGCTCGATACAGTTTCCCAATATAACTTGTGCATTTTCAGACTGTTAACACTTGTGCTTAATGTGAGGTGTTATCTTTGCAGTGAGAGGAAGGGACAGATACTGTGCGTCAGTGGGGAGAGGAAATGTCATCGGAGCCTCCTGGCCATACTGACTGTGGTTTTCTGTCTCCAGGTGCGAATGCCAAAGGGACACACTGTCCCAAAACCTTTCAATCTGTCCCAGGGAAACAAAAGAAAACTTGAAGAAGCCACAACAGAATATGTGTCCTTTGCTGAGCAGGTAGAAGCATTCCAAAAACGCACACCCCCTCGTTACCATTTGAGGAGCAGGAAATCTGAGGAGGGTGAGTTGTCCTGGCTGTGTCCACAGACATGGTGGTAGAGCAAGAGATGCTTTGACTACTCTGAGCACATGGCCTGTGTCTGTTGCAGGCCTTGCCATTAACTGCTGGTCTGTGTGACTTGAATTTGTAGGCTCAGTTTCAAGAAAGCCAGTGAAGGCTCGGCTCACACACCCCAAAACACCAGTGCTGCGAACAAAGCAGCGCTTGAGACCTGTCACCTGCAAAACTGCTGCAGAGTTAGAAGAAGAGGAAGTAGAGAAAATTCAACAGTAAGTAGGGGCTTACTCTAGTCCTCCAGGGGATGAATGTACCACACTGGAAATATTTTTCAGGTACCAAAATGTCACTTCTCTGGAATACCCTTTTTGTGTGAAAGAATGAGTAGCATATACCATTGAGATTCCTTTAGGTTGTTCATAATTATTTAGTTCTGATTTTAGGGAAGTGAAATATAAACAATTAATTTTTAAGAACGTGCTCTTAGGAGAGCTGATCTTGGGTTGAGTACAACTTACAATGAGTAAAGCAAACTCAGTATAGAAATGCAGCCTGCATGCACTTCAGAACTTGCCTGTAGGCAAAGGTTTGGATTTCTAGGAAAACAATCAATAAGATTTTCCTTATTAGTCTTGCTGTTTTGAAGGCAAAGGAAGAATTGCTAACTATAGCTGCACAATAATGTACAATTGGTGACTGTCTCCATTGTTCCTCCATAGGTACAAATTCAAAGCACGAGAAGTCAATCACAAAATCTTTGAGAGTGGGCCACTCCTGCCCAGTAAACCCCCTGTGAAGAAGCTCACCCAACCCATTGGCTTTCAATTAGAAATAGAAAAAAGGATTCAGGAGCGTGAGAGCAAGAAGCAGCAGGAGGAAGAGCGCTTTGAATTCCATTCCAGGCCATGTCCCACAAAAATCCTGGAGGATGTTGTGGTAAGAATTTAATAACACCCAGGCTTGGGAATTGGTGGCAATGAGCTTCAAAATGTTTGTAGCTATGTTGTATTATGTGTTTAATGATCTCAGTAAACAGTGTGTGATTAGGTAAGAACTGCAGTAGGTACATCCTGTGCTGTCAGGTTGTTTCTCTGAGGCATTTTCTTGGCGCTTGGCCTTGGGTAACTCCTTACTGGCTTTTCTGAACAGGGTGTTCCAGAGAAGAAAGCACTTCCTGTTACAGTCCCCAAGTCTCCAGCCTTTACCTTGAGAAGCAGGACCCGTGTGTCTGGCAGAGAGGAAGAAAAGGTAACAGTTGTGATGAGGCTGGAGCCAGGCCCAGTTCTCACTGCAGTGCCTGCCGTGCTTCTGGATGTGGGTGGGTTGCTCTGGGGCTGGAAGCCTCTTCCTTCCCCCCTCTGAGCAGTTCCTCCAGTGGTTACCTTTGTCTGTGCTATTCACTCGAAACAATCTGGTTATTGTTGCTCATTTTACAGAAACTAAATTCTCATTAAAAATGAAATCATTTAAATGCTAGGGCACTGATGAGGGTTTCTGAGGTGTTGCTGCTATAAATGAGGAAGGTGAACTGCTTAGATTTCTCACCCTTCTGTATTCTGTCACTGAAGGCAGATATTACACATGATCTCCCTGAGGTGGAGAGCAGGATTCTGAAAGCTTCACAACCTTCTTTCCTTCTTGTCAAGGGAATATTAAATTATTACAGTCTAATTTGAATGAATACTAGAATTGAGAGTGGTTTCAAAAAAGGAAGAATTGGGCCTGTGGTTCAGGGTGCCAGTCAATTGGTACTTCTTGGTTTTCTAATTTTTGTAGTGTCCACTGTTTGTATGACTCACTCTGCTGTGCCCCTTATTAAGGGACCTCATTCAAAGCTCTTTGTGGCTTTGCTTGGCAGGAGTTGCAGCCTATAGAAAAGTAAAAAAGCAGATCCTAATGCTAATATCCCTTTAGGAAAAAGAGGAGGTGGCTGTGATCAAAGCTAATCCTATGCCACATTATGGAGTGCCCTTCAAACCCAAAATGCCAGAGCAGAGGCATGTGGAAGTTTGCCCCTTCTCTTTCGATGCACGGGACAGAGAGCGGCAAATACAAAAAGAGAAAAAAATAGAAGAACTACAGAAGGAAGAGGTAAGAATAAAAAGCTACCTTGGATTCCACTCCTTCAGTAAAAAAGAGTGTGACAGGATTTGCTGTTGTCTATTAAACCTCCAAGGAAAGGACAAGAAATATTTTGAGTTGTTTGTTTCAGGTGCCAAAGTTCAAAGCGCTGCCTCTGCCTTACTTTGACCAAGTTAAACTGCCAGAAAAGAAAGTCAAAACCCCAACTCAGCCTGAGCCATTCCATCTGCAGGTGGATGAACGGGGAGCTGCCAAGCTCCAGAGCTGGAAACAGCAGGTAGGATGAAAAGGATAATGGGAATGACCAGATTAAATCAGCTGGTGGAGTTATGGTTGACTAGAGAAACTGTCCTCCTTAAATTGAATCGGTAGCTGAGTTGGAGCAAGGAATTTTTCTGTACTTAACATGAGTCTTGTGCTATAGGTTAAGGATTGGTCAATGGTTTGTTTTTATTTTTCTCACTTTATGGTAAATGATGGGATTCACCACAACTGTATGAACAGCAGTGGGGTATTTTCTGAGCAGCAGCTCTGTGCAGCTGAGTTGCTTTGCTAACTATCTCCAGGAATTTATTGACACATAAATAATATGCTCTTTTGCTCATGTGAAGTCTGCAGTGGACACCTGAAACTTTCTTCAGGATATTTTTGGCAAAGCAACTGTCAGGCGATAAGTTGACACCAAGTTTTGGCTTTAATATAATTTTCTATGGAAATTATTCAAGTCAGCATGACTTTTCCAGTGTAGGGAGTGCTGGAGTCTGGGTCACAGGGAGATGGTCTCTTTCTGCCTGGCACTTGACGTGCTCTCTTCTCTTGCAGCTTAAAGAAGACATGAAAAGGCAGAAAGAGGCAGCATGTTTTAAAGCTCGTCCCAACACAGTGATGTACCAGGAGCCCTTTGTGCCCAAAAAGGAACATAAGATGCTGTCAGGTAGAGTTGCAAGTACTTGCTGTGTGGGCTTGGCTGATAGCTCACAACTGATGCAATTAAGTGATGTTTTTTCTGGCTGTTGCCTCTTCTTCATCAGCACAGCCAATAATGCCTTGCATTTAATCAACTAATTGCCTAACAGCTTGTGTCCCCTGGGAGCGAGGGGATTTCCTCTCCACCCCCTGTCCTGCTCCAGCATGGCAGCTGTATTTAGAAGCTCTGCTGCAATTGGCAGATGATTGATGTGTGCCAGCTCAGGATAAGGGTACTGAGAATGTGAGGAGCTCCCTGCAGAGACAGCTGGCATTTCTGCAGCGCTGTCACTCTTTCCCTCCCGTTTCTAGTGAGATGAAGGCATCTACTGCTTGGGTAGGCTGAGATTTGTAGAGCATAAAACCAGCCAAAAGCTTGTTTGTTCTAACAATTGTGTGCTTGCTCCCTCCCATGAGAACACCCATGACGGGGTGACGTCTGCATTAACGCTGCTCATGTCTGGGAGTAAAGTTTTCTCTTTTCCTGAAGCCTGGAGGTATCTCCTAACCACCCTTGCCAAGAGGAAGCTCTCCAAAGGGAGGCTTCCATCGACATTTGTGCTGCTCTGCTTTACCTGACTGTCTTTGAAACAATGTTATCTCCTCTATTTCTAAACTTAGAGAGCCTTTCTGGTTCTGTAGTTCCTGAAAGCTTTGAGCTAGCAACAGAAAGAAGAGCAAAAGAACGGCAAGAATTTGAAAAGCGATTGGCAGACGCAGAAGCCTTAAGGGAGAGGCATGAGGAGCAGATCAGGCAGCAGCAAGAGGAGCGTGAAAAGGAAGAAGTTGCTAAGCTAAGACAAGAAATGGTAAGTGAGCTGTTTCTGAGCAAGGGCTATAAAGTAACCCAAAGGAATGTGGGAATATCCTTATGGAGCTAATGTCACAGTTGAGCTGTGCTAAAACTGCCTTTTCAAGATTCTCTTTGTAAATTGATGACTCACTAACTTCACAACTGGTTTAAAAAAAAAGGAAACCTACAAAACTATGCAAACAAAGAAGGCAGCTGTGCTGAGATGGCTGAGTTTTGGAGATGCACATGTAGCTATCAAAGCAGAATGATCTCAGTAAAACCCACAACCCCAACATGTGCTGTATATTTTCCCACTACCTCACTCCAGTGCCCAGCGTGGTCTCAGGCAGATGCCTGGCCTTCACCTCATCCACAGCTCACCTGCAAATTTCAGCTTTATTATAACTGCAACAGTTTGCTTTCTTTTGCCCTTGCTTATATTTATTTTTCCACAGGTTCACAAGGCAAACCCAATACGCAAATACCGCAGCCTAGAAGTGAAGCCCAGTCATCAACCACTGACTATGCCAAAGTCTCCCAACTTCTCAGACAGATTCCGATGCTGATGAGCATCCATGTGACAGCTGGTGGGAGATCCCATCCCTCTCCCTTGGTAGGAGAGAGGGAGCAATTGTTTTTCCATGACTGCTCAGTCTGAACTCCTGTGCTTGGTTTTGTTGTTATACTGAGTAGTAAAACTCGACCTGAGCCCATGGCATTTCAGCAGTGCCTCCTGGCCTTGCTGTTTATCCAGACCCCATCTTCTCCAGAGACTAAACCAAGTTTTGATATTGCATACAGATATTGTGTACCTAACTAAATAAAAATTCCTAATCTGTTTGCTGTCTCTGGCTAGTGGGCTGAAGCCCTTTCCTGCAGAAGAGTTTTTGATAAAGACTGGCCACACAGATGTGTGCATCTGGCAGAACTGTCTTATATTTTTACACTAAGTGCTATTTTCAAGTGTCTGTTTTATAGTCTTTTAGTCTACATTTAGCTTGAATTCTGTTAAGTGAGGTCCCTTTAAGCCAGTGTAGTGTGGGTCTGGCCTTCCTTGTTGATGTTTAGATGACCACAAATATGAATCTTGCCCACGCTTAAAAGTAGTTCTTTGTGTATATTAGAGGATTAAACCATCTTGCTGTTTTATAGCTGAAGTCCTTCTGTTTGGGGAACAATTTATCTGGCAAGTGACTTGCTGTGAGCTGCTGCCATAGCTTCTGCCAGTGCAGGTCTCTTGGCTACAGAGCCATCAGCATCTCTGGCTAGTTTGGGCAGCAAGCAGAGCTAAATATAGCCCAAGGGCTCAAATGTGCTGGAGGACAAAACTGCTGGCCTTGTGAAGAGTGGACACATCTAGATTAAAGTTTTAATAATTATTTCTTACTTAGTATTGTGCTCTAATTTCTTACCTTTATATTTTGCTGAAACACCCGTGAGCAGGGCTGCTTGCTGCGGTTGTGCTGCTTAGTAGAGAGGGGGAAATGGAAATTTATAATTAATTTGTCCTAACTGGCTAAACTTTCTTGTTTGCTGGTTATGGAAAACATTTGCTTTCATTTCTTCTGAATTGTGATACCGTTAAAGAAGTTATTCCCAGAGTGTGTAGCTTTTTGTTTAGAATTTTGGGTGAAAAGGAGAGTTCAAACTAGAATCTAACACCTGGTTCAAACTAGGTGTTTGATTCCACCTAAGGAGGTGCTTAGAGATGCTGTCTCATTCTTGCCAAACTACATCAAGCAATCACTATTTTACTCCTAGACTGAGAGAGGTAACAGTGAAAGAAAGTCCTTAGAGATGTAAATTCCAAGATGAACATTTATTGGACCCGAGGGATGATTCTGCAGGAATTCTCCTAAAACTTGTGATGCTCAAGAGAGATGTCATTGCAGAACAGCTGGGGTCTCTATGGGAGTGTTTCCTAGAGCACCAGCCTCAAACTGCAGTGCTGGGATTAAAAGAGGAAAAGCCACCCACGCTGAAATACAAGGATTCTTCAAAAAAAAAAAAATTAAAGGTTTTATGCAGTTAGTAACTGAAGAACTGGAGAATGAGAGGCTTGGGGAAGTGTGTTGGCACTCAAGGATGAATGACCCACACTGTGGCACTGTGGGCTCTTGGAAATGGTGAGCTCAAACATGGTTCCATTTTGCTCAAGTTTCAGCTTTTCATTCCCTTCTTGTGAGGATCTTTGTGTAGCTGTGGCAGAGGCTGGCCCAAAAGCTTGATCTAATCACCCAGTCTGCCTTCAGCCACATTTTTCTGATTTTGCCAATAGCCCCGTGTCACTGTGCTGAGAGTTACAGACAGCCAGAAAAAACTGCTGTCACTGCTTCTGTGACAATTTGCAGGAGTGGCTGGAGCACAAGGGACGTGTCAACATACTCTTCTTGAAAATGAAAATCCGTGTGGATCTGACCTGTCTGTCTTAACCCCATTTCTGTCATGGTGGGGCTGTTCCCTGTGCTCTGCTACTGAATGGGGACATCACAAAAGCTCAGATGTGCTGTCAGGGAGCCCTTGTTTTTTCCTCGAGTACCAGCTCTGGAGAAGGCAGCGTGTGGGCAGCAGAAGCAGCAAATATTTATGATGAGTCAGGGGGAAGCTGGAATGATGATGAGCTGCTGAAGAATGTGAAAGCAAGCAGGAGCATGAGGCTGTGGAACTGGAGCAGCCACTGATCCCTGAAGGATGAAGTAGCTGGATTTTCCTGATGGCCCTACATGGCCTCTTCTGCCTTGAGGAAGGGGTTGTGTGCCTGACAGCTTGGCAGTATTTTCCCTCTAATGGTATCATTTGGGTCTAATAAAAGACATTACGTCTTCCCCCAGACATGGCCTCTTGTATTCCCCATGCACTGCAAACAGGGGCAGGAGCCTCAGGCAGCTGTGCCTCCAATGGTCTGGGGTCTTTGTATGAGCTTGGAGTCACCCACCAGGTTCTCACGGGCTGGGGTGTGGGACCTGTTCTCTTAATTAGGAGGGAAGTGGTGACATGGTGGGAAAACTGCTCTAGTGTATAAAGTATAAAAATCATCCCTGAAGGAGCTGGATGTTGGAGAGGATGGGATTTGGCCAAGGCTTCAGCAGGAAAATAGTGGCAGGTGATTTTTCTGCTGGGGAGGACAAATTTACAGGACAGGAGCAACAGACTGGGATTTAACCAAGTGCTATTGGAACACCTCCCTTTAGAGTCAGGGTAGGTTGAGAAACTGATGTACAATCTATGTTATCTGTGTGGATTTTGCAAAAACTTTGTATTCCAGTACTGAAAGCTCATCACCCTTATGTGCATGCCTTGAGAGCAAGGATTGGGAGGAGAGAGGAGGTCTGGGTACAAAATCTTCCTCTGCTCTTCTAGTTGGGCTGTACTCAATTTGTCATCAAAATAATTTGCTGAACAGAGACTAGGGCTGGAACTTAAAGGGCAGCCAATGTTTTCCTGGACTTTCATGTTGATAGCAAGATCAAATTATCTGGTGAATAAATTCATATGAAAAGGCTTGATGATGCTCTCAAATCACAGCTTTGCTTCTCCTTTCTGTCTCCACTGGGAAATCTTTGCAGCTGCTTGTGTGACCTGGCCTGAACCTGGCAAGGACTCCTGGACCTGGGCAGGTCCTGGTGCTCCTGTGGTGGCCACATCACTCTGGATGCTCTTTTGATGATGGTGGGGGTTTTCCTTGTCTTTCCTCATCACCTTGTGACACCTGTCATGACGCGATGGCAGCTCCTGGTGGAAGCCCTGGTTCTGATGGAAGCAGTTGAGCCAGACAGCCTGGCTGGTTTGTGTTTCAGCAGCATGGCTGGGATTCAGGGGGGGATGTTGTTCAGCCTTCCCTGCTGCTCGATTTAGCTGGGGTGTAGGGTTTCCCGGGAATGGGCCGGCTTTGCCCCCGCAGAGCCTCCCTTCCCAGGGTAAGCTAAAGGTTAAAGTGTGCTGCCGCAGTTGTGACAACGGCGTCGCCAGGGAACAGCGTGCTTGAGGCGCTGCCAGATAGCCCCGGGACAGGCTGTTTCCCAGCTGCAGCCAATGTAGGCTCTGGTTTAAGTTCCTGAATGGGAAGGGAGGAGAAAAACCCCCAAGCCCAGGCTGAGAAGCCTGAGTGGTGGCTGGTTTGCAGAGCCCCGGGGCACTGTGCTGCTCCTTGGGCGTGAGGTTTTGGACCAAAGCATCTGAAATCCTGGGGTGCAACAGATACTGCCCTTCAGTTCTACAATTCCTTCTTCCCAAATATCTGATTTCAGCTTATATCTCTCTGCCCACAAATGAATTTTAACTGTGATAATTCCAAGTCATGGTCCCCCATTGCCTCTATAAAGCCATGGCTCCCCAGTACCTGCACCCAGGGCTTTGCTTCCTCACCTTGTGCCAGGAATTTGTGCCCAGACCAACCTTGCTCCCAGGGAGTGTGGAAGATTGCAAGCATCCCAGGAAGGCTGGCTGGTGTCCAGCTGCTTGCTCCTGCTCTCCTTGGAGAATTTTATCCTGGTATCCACCACACCAAGAGCTCCAAGGGGGCTGTGGGGCATGGCCCTGGCTCATGGGCTCCTGCCTCATGCTTGGGCATGGATGTGCTTCTTCCACCTCGGGTTTGCCAGGAGGTGCAGAGCCAAAGGCTGGCGGAGTGGTGGCAGTACGTGCCTGAAGTGACACTGGTGGCCTCCAGGTGCCTGGCAGCCCTCGGCTGGAGGAGGAGAGAGGCAATTCCAAGCTGTATGTTGGCGATGACAGTCGGCGGGCAGAGGCCCCGCTGGCCAGGCACAGCATCTGGCCAGTTATTACTGACTGGCCCTACAGCAGCCAAGGTGGGGGACTCCCACTCGTCACAGAGTGGTGCTTGTGCCAGGGCTGGGCAGTGTGTTTGTCGTGTCACCAAGAACTGTGGCTGCTGGTGATGCTCCACCCTCTGCTTGTACACAACTGCATCAACACATCAGTGAGCTGGAGCTGTGTGTCTGCTCCTGCATTAGCCCTGCTAGTCCTCATCACATTCCAAGTTCTGCCATGGATTTCAGGAAAGGAGCTGGCCTGGTTAAAGCCACAAATTCCATCTGAAGGCTGGAGTGGGACAGGAGTCTCCAGTGGTGTTCCACCGAGCAAGTGTTGCTCTTGCATTGAGGTGTTGATGGTGGGCACCTCAGGCCAGGGACAGGTGGGACAGCAGCACCTCAAAGACAGAGGAACAGCTGTGCTCCCATCCTGGCTTTTCTCAATTTCAATGCCACATGTGAACCACTGGCAAAGTCTGACCCCAGGCTGTGGCACACAGATGCTGGTGGCTCACTGGGAGCTGGGATTTGCCAATGTGGAGCAGCAGCACTGCCTGAGCAGTGCTGGTCCTCCTGAAAGGTGCTGCAGGCAAATTAAGCACTGCTCTTGGAGGGCTGCTGCTGCTTGTTGGTTGACTCAGCTCCATCGTGGGTGGCACTGGCCAGGGCAGCCTCCCCACCTCCTTTGCTGCTGCAGCCTCCAGCCCTGCCACAGGTAAGGTTTAAACTAAGGAGAAAGCAAAGCAAGGTTTAAGCAGCCAGGTTTGGTGTCTGGCAGGACCTGAGCTTTGTGTGGCTGTGGGGTGGGGAACTGGGAGGCAGGACCAGGCTGGCAGCTGGCAGGGGCTGAGGCTGCAGGAGCCCAGGGTATTCTCAGCCTCCCTGGGGGCACCTGGCCAGCCTGGGCCTTGGGAGAGTCACACTCCTCCAGCAAATGCCAGGATTCAGCCCCACGCAGTGCCTCAGGTGTGTCCTGGGGTGCAGCACCCCAGAAAGAGTTGGCAATGCCTGTGCACACAGCCCAACCCCTCTGGAGCCTCCAGCTCCTCTGTTTCTTTCCCTGATTCCCAAAACACTTGATTTTGCAGAAAGCCTTTCAACCGTTGCTAGGGAAGGCTGCAGCTGCTGTCCCCTTCATCAAGGCCCAGTGGCAGTGCCCAGAGGTGCCACACCATACCCACAGAGTGCAGGGTCCTTTGGAGCTGCTCTCCCAAAGGGCCAGTGCCAGTGGGCAGAGCTGGCCACAGCTCACCAGCTTCTCCTGGCCACCATCCCCGTGGGTTGGCCAGTGTCCTTGTGTCACCTGTGGGCACTTTGGAGGGCCTTAGTCACCTGAATCCTGTCCAGCTCACCCAGGCCACCCCCATGGGATGGTTTTGGGGTGCCACTGTGTCCAGCACCAGCCCTCCCTGTGGTGCTGTGCTGGAGAGGGAGGCAAATCCATCCCTTCCCCCTGCCCCTTGTCTGTGTGTCCCCAGCCCACGGGGGACAGACGAGAGTGGTGTGTCCTTTGAACGGGCTCCAGCAGTAACAGGTGCTGGGAAAGGCGAAGTGGGCCGGCTCCCGCTGCTGTAAAGGATCCTCCTCTGCCCGGCTAATCCGGCTCCGTTACACCCGGGATAGAAGAGGCTGCTCCCTCCCTCCGGCGCTGCCACAGCGCAGATGCTGCCCCCCTGACCACCCACTGCACCAGGACCAGGTAACGGGGCCGGGGGGGTCTCCATGGCTTCTGACTTGGGGTGTGCTGGTGGAGGGTCCTGTGGATAGCACAACCCCCAGCCCTGGGAAGGACACCTCCATCCCCACGGGCTTCCTGGGCTGAGCTGTGGGATGTGGGAACGCTCTCCCAGGGACTGTTCTGCTACACCTCCTGTTCCAGTAGGCCAGCAAACAACTGCCCTGTTACTGGGATGGTCGCTGCTGGGTTTATTCTGGGGCTGGGCTGTCCTGGGCTCTGGACGGCTGCGCAGGGAGGTGTTTTGGGACAGGGTGAGGAAAGATGACCGGGCACAGAAGGGCAGTGGAGCCCAGGGCAGAACAACCCAGGGGATTTGGGGATCAGGTGCTGGGCTGGAGGCTAAATGTAGGTACAGGTACCAACAGGTGCCCTTGGCAGAGCTGGTGCCCCTGGGCAGGGACACGAGCAGCGCTGGTGGCTGCTGGGTGTGGGGGTCTGGGTGGCCTCTGAGCAGATGGGGCTTGCCTGCACGGCTGGACCTCCTGTGTGGTTCAGGGGGAGCAATGGTGGGGCTGTGCCGGGAATGCTCACCTTTCCTGATCCTCACTGCCAGCCGGGGCAGAGCCGCTGTCTCCTGCCCTGCCACGGTGGGATGTGGCCTTGAATTGTCACCCTGGCCGCGGCGCACTGGCTGTTCGCACGTCGGAGGCCCCAGGCACCCGGTGACAGGTGCCGGGGTCAGGCCATCGATCAGTCACCGCGGGGCAGATATCGGGGAACAATGGGACGGTGCCGGGACCGGTGGCCACGTGGGGTCCCTGGATCGGTGCCACCAGCCCGGCGGGGACACGGTTCCCTGCTGCATGGCAGCAGCTCACCCCTGCAGTACCAGAGCCGCTGCCCGAGCCCTGCTGTCCCCTCTGCAGGGCATCGGGTCCGGCGAACCCTCAGCTGCTGTTTTCTCTCCCGCAGGAGCCTCGCCGGACCAGGAGCACCGCAGGGCAGCCGCCTCCTGGCTGGAGTGTCCCATGGAGCAGGGGGGTGCTGGCACCGGGGGGACTGGTGACACGGTGCCCCCCGAGGCTGCAGCTCCTGCAGTCCCCCAGGCTGCCCAGCCCCAACGGGGGACAGCGCCAGCCGCCACCCTGGCACAGCACAAAGGCACGGATGAGCCTGGGCAGGAGAAGGCTGGTGGAGGAATGACAGAGCAGGAGCAAGAGACAGCCCTGGCTGCTCCAGAGCTCCAGGATGGGCGGGAAGCGGTTCCAGGAGAGGAGGATTCGGCTGTGCAGCATGATGGAGGACAGGCAGCATCCACCGGGGACAAGGTGCCAGCTGCCACTGAGGCCCAGGGTGTAGGGAAGGATGAGAACGAGAAG